ATACCTAAAACCTTGCTATACGTGTTGAAGTCTATTTTTCAGTCGGTAGACTTCGTAATCGACTCGTATAACAGTATTGGTGCTGAATGAAATGATTTCGACTAGTGTTTGAAGGCCTGAGTTTAGTTCTTAGGATGATTTTGATGTATGACAAGGCAACTATAGTGTAGGCTATCATCTTACGTTGTTTTTGCTCCTTTTTCTAGTAGTTGTAATAATGTGAATAATGATAGGTATCAAGTACTCTACCATAAGATTTAGTAGTTTAGTAATCTACTTGATAATGATACTCATTTACCTAAGTTTAATGCAAATTCATAATGGGTTATAATATATCAAAAGGGAATTATAGTAGTAATTATATATTATAAGTCATATTATTCTATTGAAGAGTATGGTATGCAACTAAACTTTAACACCAGCACGTGTCAAGTAAAAATATTAAAAAAAATATGATTTTGATCATTTTGACTATTTTAACTTTATATATAGCTTCAACTATATTCTTAATAACTTATTTTCTAGATTTAACAGTATGTAATAATGATTGTAAAGTCAATTATTAAATATTTTGTTATATTTCTTTATAAGCTTTTTTATTTATTATATATTTGTTATATTTGTTATCAATTATATAACTTTTAATAATAGATTATATTTTTATTTTATTGATTTATTATAGTAAATATAAAATATAGTTCCTGCAGTTCCTGCATCATTTTTAAATATTTCTAACTATTTTTTGATTTAGAAATTAATATTTACTGTAAAATTATAATATATTTATATAAGAAAAAAGAAAATGTTGATGATAAAATTGAAAAAGTAAGTTATAATAAATGAATATAACTAATTTAATGAATTTTCATAATTAAAAATGTAAAATTTATGTATTTTTAATATTTTAATTTCTGAAATTAGAAATTTTGGTTTAATAAAAAGACAGTAAACAATTTTATTAAATATTATGTGAAATGTTACATAAATTATTATATAAAATATTACATAAAAGGAATTACAAATATTATCCCTTAAATGTTAATGATTTTATTCAATTTTTAGTAAAGTTTTTTTAATAATATATAAAAAATAATAAAGATTAAAAATTTTAGCTTTATAAAAAAATGCTTTTATTAAAAAATTTTCAAAACTTTGATCTTAAATTAATGCAAAAAATTATTAATTAATATAATTTTTTTTTGATTTTACTTAAAAAACATCATAAATTTTTATTATAAAAATATTATTGGTTTAATCATTAATTTTAAAGTATAAATAAAATTCCTTTTAAATTTGAAAAAAAACCTATTGAAGGAATACAATTTATATTTATTAATATTTTATTATATATTATCATTGTGAGAATTTCACTTTTATTTCTTACATAATAATAACTACTTTTATTTTATTAATCAAATCTGAATCTTCTGTTTCTTTTTATCAAAGATTTATTTACAATACAAAATGCATAACTTTTGCAGAGTTTCTAATCTTAGAAAATTCACATAATATAAGTATTCCAAGAAGAACTTCTTAAACTAATAATACATGTTTCTATTTTATTTATAATTTCTTTATAAGATAATGGAAATTATGACTGATAAATTAAAATATAGTATAGTGTATAATATCATATCAAATTCTAGATAAAAAATATTAAGAAAGAAAAAAATTTATATTTAATATTAATTTCTTTATTATATTTTAGTTTATTATTAACGTTAGAATTATTGATATTTTAGGACTTCTACAGTCTTATTTTTTACATTAATAAAGAATTAGCTTATTTATAATAATTTGCGTTACTATTTTTAATAATATGAACTAACTAATTTTGAATAAAAATAATAAATATATTAAATAAAATAAATATATGAAATATAAGAAAAATAATAAATATACTAGTAAAATAATAAATATAAGAAGTATAATTGATATATTAAATATATTAAATATCAGATTTATTAGGGTTATAATAAATATAAGAAATATATTGAAAATCAGGCAAATCAGAAATTATGTATATGGGAGTGTTTCCAGTAAAATCACATTACAGATCATATAATTTATTATGTCTCATGACTTGATTTTACTAGAAACATTTCCATATGTATATCTTTTAATTTCATGATTAATATAAAATTAATTTTAGTAACTTCTGTAAATCATTTGATAATTCTTTATAAATCAACTTTCCAATAGTGAATTTTTTATTAGTAATAATATATAAAAATCAAGAAATTATAAATTAATCAATCCTAATGTCTAAGGTAATTTTCTAACAATTTTCTATAATAATACTATTTTTTGCTATACTACTTACTAATTTATATAAGAATACAGCTAATTGTAAAAATACATCAACCTGTTATTTGTTATTATTTATATTGAAAATTTGATATATTATGATAAAAGAAAGTAATTAGTCAGAATATAACAAAAGACAATTATAATTTATAATACAAAAAATATCTGTCTACTTAGTCATTTTCATTATATTTGTATTTCAGACATAATAACAATCCTTAGTTTATAAAAATTTTATGATATTATTCTAAAAATCTTTTTAAGTTTTATAATAAAATAATGGAAAAGTAATTTTTTTAAACTTTTCTTGAAATTTATATATATTGTTAACGTTAATGTGTAATTCTTGCGAACTACAACCATTAGACAAGATGTCGGAGTGTTATTTCTTTTTAATCGCACAGTAATCTTAACGCTTTATAAGTGTACTTTTATAATTAAATTCAGATAGAAGGGTTTATACAAGTGTTTCACAAACAATAAATCACGATATATCAAGTAATTATATTTCAAAGTAAGATGTTTATTAACAAGATAAGAGAATAGAAATAAAGAAATAAAAGAGATTACAAGAGAAAAGAAAATAAAATAAAGAAACGAAATACTAAAACTAAAGTGTAATACAATAGGTCTGTTTGCCTCTTAAAACTACTAGAAAACTGACTTGTCAAATCCTACTTTTTTACATGATCTAAAAAGCTATCTATTTATATAAAATACAATACTTAGAAAGATATAACTAATATATCGGATATATCATATATGTCAAATATGTCCAATATGTCATATATGTCGATCATGTCAGATATATCATATATATCAGAAATATCAGAAATGTCAGATATGTCAGATATGTCAGATTTGTCAGATTTGTCGGATTTGTCAATCATCTGCGCCACGTAAGTCCTATCACATTTTATCCGTTCACAATATTATAAATTTGTATTTTAGTGTTCTAACAACAGGAGGATAGAAAGAGAAGACAAACCAATTATTCCTCAAGAAGAATTTGAGGGAGTTGATCATCCTTTTGAAATCAGACAGTGGAATGAGTAACTGTAGACGCAGAAGCTTACCATTTCTTGAATTCGTGTAGTGAAGGAGTTTGTGAGTACCGTGATCATCATGTTTTGCCCATGGAGCTGATCAAGGAGTGACGGGACTAATGATTCCCCATGATAATCCGTTATTCTTTGGTTGAGGTGTTTTGACAAATAGTTTGATTGGAAGTTTGTTGAGTAAATGGAAGCCATTTTTCGTTTTTTTGCCTTTTTTTTGTGATGGTTTAAACATACGATTCTTCCTTTTGAATAAAATGTGGAGGAATATCATTGGTAATGAAAGTGCTTGAAGGTGTTTCAACTTTTTGTTCACTCATTACCTTTTCATTCACTTTGTTTTGTCATAAGATTTTACATATCTTTACTATTTCCATCCATGATTTCATATTGTCTCATTATGTCGATTAGAAATCTGATCAATATGTGATGATTGTTGTAATCCAATATTGTTTTCTTTTCTCATACGGAAATATCCAATCTCATTTGAATGTGAAACACGCGAAGAAGTAGGTCCGATACTAGATCCTCCCAATGGTGATAAGAGAGTTGGTTATTCAGCAGCCTTTGTCGGCTAACCTGCAATTTCGTTAAAGCGTTAACAAACGGAGGTTTGGGCGCATTTGTAACAGGAGCAGATACAGGCCCATATAACTTTGTTGTTGCCTTATAGAAGTGTCCGGATTAGCATGTTGACTTGTAGTGCCTGTTGGTGCATCATATAATTTTGGCGATCAATCTGGGAAGATTGTGCTCGTTAATGATCAAGATAACTTTAAGATGATGAAACATTGAAGGAAGCAGCATTATTGTTAAAATAGAGGTGGTGAATAGAAGCTTGCACACTATAAGACAAATTTTCGTTTTTAGATATGAAACCGTCTATTAGTCCCCATGCATTATTTGTTGAGTTCAGATCCCCCACTAGTTGCCCAAAAACGCTACCAAACTGATATTAGTAAATGGAGTATTTTGCACCGAAGCGTTCCATCAAAAGGATAAAATCGCTGTTGATTATCCAAAAAAACTGTGCTGCACTGGGCGAAGTTAGAAGCAACCCAAGGTCTTTGAAATGGATCAATAACCAAATTATTAGGTATTTGAACCAGGTATTGGCGCAGAAAAAGGCCTTCCATCAACACCATTCATTCATATCAAGATACTTAAAGGTTCAAACGTAGTATCTTCAACCCTTTTAACTTAAAGACTATAAACAAAAATCCACCCTTATAACATTCATTCATTTCCTGATCACTAAATGGACCTAAATGGTTTATTAAAATGAACAGAAACATTACTGTGTAAAACATCAAACAACAGCTAAAAATGCTTTTTAAAATTTTTTTAAACATACCTTACCACTTGGATCACGGTACAACCATTATATTGCTCGAGCGCTATATTTCCTATACCAGAGAACGACTGCTTCCCCAGAATTGCTTTCACCAAAAACATTACCAGTGATGTGCGGAAGTACATTTACAGTTTTATCAGTTGGAGACAATGATGTCCTAAATTTGAATAAGCGAACGCTTCCTTCAAAACATCATCGTCTTGGTCTAGGTCAAAACGATAGGTAATAATAGTGGTTGGTGTGTTGTAGTAATTGCTGTTTACGATGTTGATGCTGATGCTGTTACAATAATTCTTGTTGATATTTTAATTTTTTTTTTTCTTTGTTGCTGCTGCTGCAATAATAACTGTTACTGTTGCTGCTGTTGTTGTTGCTGATATTGTTGCAATTGTAGCTGTAATTGTAATTGTAATTGTAACTACTTCTGTTCATTTTCTTGTCTTTGTGCATTTGTAATTTCGTTGTTGCATTTCTTGTTTATATGGTTCCTTACCTTTGTCTTGATGAAGCTGCAATGGTTGCAATATTAAATTTTGTTGTTCATCGATAATTGTTCATTTTCTCTCTCTAATTCAAGTTCATGATAATTATCATGTTCAAGTCCTGCTCAATGTTTATTTCGTCGTCAAATTCGTAACAATCTAGCTGCTGTAACAACTGATGTCTTCTTCATGCCTTTATTACGACCGTTGAAACAACTATTATTCTTCTTTGTGAGATTCAGTTTGGTTCTGTTGTAATGATTTTAATTTCTTGAATTGGACGACTTTGCGAACCTTGCCAATCTTGTAAAACTTTGTCTTCTCGAACTTGACATTCTTGTTGCGTTTCTTGCTTAAGTGCAAGTTGCATCAAAGAGTTTCACGTATAAACTCATGTCTCGTGTTCAATTCATTTATAGATTTATTGTTTCTTTCTTTTCGTTCGAATTGGACGTCACAATTTCATATTGGGACGACTTTCTGTAGGATTTGAATCCGATCGGTCGGTCGGATTTTATACCAGATTGATTTCTTAAAATTAGATTTTCAATAATTCACTCAATAATCTCTTCGATTTTCTTGCCATGTTTGGTATCCTCTTTATCTAAGGGATTCTGAAAATCCCATTATCAAAATTTCCTATAACCTGGATACTCTACTGATGTTGAATCGAGAGATTTAGGTGGACGAATACTGAGTACTCCACCAATATACCACCGAAACGTTCGCTTCTGGTGAGTTAGTCCACTGCTAATGGCCACGAGGAGAAATTTGTATTTTTCTGTTTCTATACATTCATCTTCAGTAAAACATTGAGTAAGTTCGACACTCCTCCTATTCAGAAGATAGAGTTTCAGAGCGCCTAACAAAAAGCTAACATGAAATTTTTTAACAAATAATACAAATGAATTTCATCAGTTTACTGTAATTGGAATCCAGATTTCAATTTAAGACATGATCCTTACCTGTTCTTACAGTAATTACATTATCTAAAATTTCACTATCTCGTTTGTTTTACTTAACCATAAATATGGACTGGACGATATTGAATTGGCCTTTACTGTAACTGATTTTGGCGGGATATAATCGCTCGGCGGAAATTGGAAATAAATTCGCGCAATCCACGACTGGGCACTTTGTCAAAAAAAAATGGTTTTGGACAAGGTGAAATCATTCTAATAGCTTCTTTGTTAATAATTTTTTCAATGATTACATTAATAATTCAAAAACTAGCACAAATCAGGCTTATCTACTTTCTAGTTAAAAGCATTTTACTAAAGAGAATGAATAGTAAAACAATTATTATTATAATAAAAAATTAAATATTACAACTTATTAATTTTTAGATAAATTTCATTTTCAAATATTGAGTATATAGTAGAAAAGGAGGAAACTCTAATTTTGAGTTTATATTAAATCTGGATTTATTTTACTAAAAAAAATCATAATTAGCTTAGAAAGTAAAATTTTAGAGTTCCTTCTTTTCTTTTCTACTGCAAAGCTCCTATATTATCAAGCTAAATTATAATACTAAATTATATTTGATCATTGATTCTTATAATTTTTTAAGTAAAAAATCATAAAAGATATAAGTACTTATTTATAACTAAAAATATAATTCTTAATAACATTTATTCAAAAACATTAATTTATAAATTTGATCTAGTTTGATCTATATATATATATATACAGTGAACTCTTGATATAATGAATTCTAGGATCTGGATATCAACTTCGTTATAAGCTTATAACAAATTTTTT